GCAATGAATACTCCTGGATGGTAAAAGAGGAGGCCTTCCAGAGCCCTCACATTACGTGTCAGGTAGGGCAGCGACTTTCCTGCACTGTGTAAATTCGTTTTGAGCTTTCTCAGCCTTCCTGGCGCCAGGCAGGATGCGTGCTGCGATGCCCTCGCTGCAGCACTCCCTGGTCGGGCTCTTCTGGAGCATGACAACATCTGACACCTCGTAGGCCACCGTGTAGGTATTAAGGAATGAAATCTAATACGATGCACGTGATGACTTTGGTTAACGTTTTACTGGGAGATAAACATCCTCTAGGCACAGAGGGATAATAGAAGCAAGGAATTCGGAAAATCAGATTGTTAAAGTCATGAAGTTGGGCCCATCAGAAAATGAGCAGAGTAAAACTCAACAGCTTAAAACCATTACTGCAGCAGCTGCTGCTGGTGAAAGCTGCTCCATGGACTTCCTGAAGGTGCTTCCTCTGTAAAAAGTATAATGATGGTAGGATGATGCAACAAATGTTGTTGTTTTCTTTTTCCAGTTATTTAAATGGTAGCATTTATACACAGTGTTCATACACTAGGGCAGGGTTGCTGATTTCTTTCCATGTGAACTTCAGATGTACAACCTAATATTTCAAATCTTGGAGAAAACAGTTTTCCCTGTGTACAGCACTGATGGCACTCTGAGTCTGGCCCAGAAGAAAATTCCTGGTGCTGGAAGTTGGGCATTGGTGTTTCTGCTGCTGGCTGCAGTGGCTGCTTGGAGAGAGTGAGAGCTGAAAATAATCAAAAGTTGCCTGTTATGGATAATTGCACCAAATTTTTTTAAATAAGAAATAACACAGTTTAGAGAAGTTTCTTGTTTTCTTTTGGGGGGACTTGATTTTGAACAGTGGCATATCATGGCTAAAAGAAGGCACTTTATTACGTGATGATAAAGTATCAAGAAGCAAAAATGTAACCTGTTGGTGTGCTTACAACGCAAAATTTCTTTCTTAGTGAGGTTAAGGCTTTGGGTAAGAGATGCACCTTAAAGTCGAGGTGTCCTTTTCTTCTGTTGCTTATACTGTTGGTATATTTATTCACGTATTTGTTCATTGCTTCAGATGCTTATACAGTGTTCTTATAGGAACTGAGAAGCTTCCAATCTTGGTGTCAACTTTGGAACAGCTTTACTGAACAGTAGTGGAATTCTGCTCCTAAAAGCTGCCAGAAAGCACAAATACTCAGATTATTTTATATATAAATGAGAACGTAGGAAAGAACATATTCTGGTGTGTCTTTAGCCGTTATCTATGGAAGACAACCCAGCTAAATACAGAAGCATGTGAGCAGGGACAGCAGGAAAGCCAGGCTGTAGCCCGGAGCAGAGGCTGCTTTGGTTGCCTTCAGGATAGCCGGCGTCTGCCCTGCGCATCACCTCTGTCAGGCATTGCAGAGCAACGTGCACTGCTGGGAGCACAGTGCCTCTAACACTTGTCACTGGCCTTGTGCAATTTGTAAATAAGCAATTAGGACTCTCTTTCTGCATGTCATGTATGTTGTGAAGTACGGGAGAGGTTAAAAAGTTGTATTCCAGGACAACTGACCCCGTTGGGAAATTCTCTTCATTAGTTTCTGATGTCAAGAAGTGACGCACCAGACAAATTAAGCCATGTACAAATTATTTATTTTCACTTGTGGGAAAGAGGAATGGAATTTGCACACTGACTGGTAGAGGATAACACTGTTCCTATCAAAAGGAAAAGAACTTTTTTGTCTTCATAAAAAATATGTATGTTTGTTTGTCATGGAGCTTTCTGCTAGTGGATGCTGTCTGAATTTGCAGTTGGTCCATCATGAGGCCCTGGGGTGGGAAGAGGATCGAGTTTCTCTTTTCTTATTTTAGTAAGTGCATTCACTTCCAGATAGTTATATTTTGTATATTAAGGCTTCACGTTAGCCATGCAGATCAAGAAAAAAGTGGATTAACGTTGTCCTCTCCTCATCTCAATGACTCTGATATGGTGCTGAGAGCTCGCTGCTACCTGGGGAAATCTCTGTATTTCAGATAGAGACCACTAAGGAAAAGACATTCAGTTAATTCAGTTACTTGTTAGTTTATGCTAGTAATGACTATGTAAAGTTTTTGATTAATTATTTCTTTTTTTTTTTTTAGTATTTCTAACAACTATTCTTCAGACAAAAGGGAGAAAAACACAAATTGGTGTTACACAGAACTAAAAATTTTTTGTTTGCATCTCCATTCTCATCAGTTTCACAGTTATCTCTATATTAAATTAAAGATCAGTGAAGGAGAAAAGTAGATTGCATTTCCATTGTGGGCTAGAAAATAGAAATGCGTGTACAACAGGTATGCAAAGTAGCTAATGGAAACGAATCACAAGTTTTGAAAATGCTGTGTAAGATGAATGAAAATAATTTTAAAATTATTCATTTAATTCTCAGATGTTGTCACAAAGCCAAAACAAATGGGATTGCATGATTATTTGAGAGAACCTCTAGTTTTCATACCTTTCGAGCCCAAAGCTCGAGCATTAACTTCATCAAAATATCAAGAAGAAGGAAGCAGAAAACATATTACTGTTTAATGTACAAAATGCGGGCAAATGCTTGCCATAGCAACCAGCAGTTAGGTAAGATGAGTGCTATGGCACACGGGCCTGCACTCCGCTTACCTCTTTATTACCCAAGGTTGTACATTGGAGTGATTTTCCTCATAGTTGGAAACTGATCTATTTGTCAATTTGATTGTTTTCGTTCGGTTTTTAAATTGCCGGGTGAAGATTGCATGTATGCTGCTTCTGAATAGGAGTGCGCACCTTTCCTGTCAAAACCAAGGCTTTCCGTAAAATAAGTCTTTTCGTATTTGTAAGATATATTATTAGTGCTTGTCACTTCCTTTATGAAGGTATCAGATTTGTAGGATTTAAAGGATTGAGACTATTGACTAAATTGATGTCTCTGATTTTCCCCTCTTGCAAATTAAAAATCCATTTCTTCTTCTTTCCTGTAAATGGAAGCAAAAAAAAACTCGATAGTATCCCTTTTTACATCTTCCCTGTTCAAAGCTGCATCCCCTTAAACGACACCATTCCCAACCTGTGAAAAATGTTGGTATGTCAGCCTTCTAGCTATGTATCACATACGTAAAACAAATATGTTGGCATGTTAGCCTTATAGCGATGTATCACAGAAGGAAAACAAACGTGTTAGTATGTTAGCCTTACAGCTTTAGCTAATTTTTAAATTAGCTTCGCTGAAAGATCTGCCTTTTCTTGTACGGCTTGTAGCTCTCATGTTTTGCAGTTCGCATGTTGCGGTGTTGGGCACTTCCCGTGCATTTTGGAAGTTACATTAACGTGGCCAGCTTGCTCTGGTACAAAAGAGCAGTACGCTTGTAACAGGCCATGTGCTTGTGCAAAGATGCCTTTCTTGTTTGCTTAGGTCATCTGTTTTATGTTTTAGTTTCATTTTCTCCAGCTACCATGTCTAGGAAATATTTGGATAATATACGTGAATGCTAGTCAGTAATGAAATCAGATTATCCATTTCCAGCAGCTTTAGGATGGCTCCCATCAGGTACTCAGAACACATTTTTAGGCATCCTTACCTACTCTTCAGTATTAAACAGTTAAAATTTAGAATTAAGATCACATATTTGGAATATGCAGACAGCTAACTATCACTTAAACAATGAAATAATATACCAGAGCCCTACTGTGAAACCCAGGGAAGGAGAAGACATTCTCAGTAGCGCAGTATTTTAAAGTAAAATGACTTAGGAAACGCATCGGATTTCCCTGGCTATCCGTCCCTGCGTGCTGCTCCTTCCCGCAGCCAGCACCAGCGTGCCTCCAGCCCCAGAGATTAGGGCACCGATCTAGGTTAAGACTAATCCGGCAGAAATACACAAATCGGCTCCCTTATCTGATTCTCTGGAGCATCCGTAGCGGGCGAAGAGAGGGAGCAGGATCTGCAGCAGGAGGAGCCGCCTTGCGGAGGCCGGGCTGTGCCCTCCAACGGGTAAGGAGCTACCCGCTGGGGATTTCCTGCTCCGCAGCATTCCAGAAAATGAAGAAAATGGGGAAAAAAAGATGGTGTCCAACACCTGCCATGGTGCTGACAGAGCCCAGATGTAAGGCAGATCTTCAGGATGGGTGGATGGAGCTTTCAGATCTGCGCTGGGGAAGCCTGAAGATGCTGTGACCCATCTTGTTTGTCCAAGCACAGTCACGCAGAGATAGTGTCACCACCTCTTTATGCTGGTTTTAAGAATAAAGTTGAGTAAACGGCCATGGTTAGGCTGAGCTTGTGACTTTCAGTCATGTTCAAGTCACAGAATTCTCTGTAGCTGTTTGTTGTAGGGAAAAAAAAAAAAAAAAAGAAACAGGAAAATGCCTGCAAATCTGAAATCTACGTTCCATTGTATCCAAGCTACCCTGTTATTTTAATGATAATTTTTATATGTGTGAGCATGTGCGTGCATATATATGTATATAAATAAGATGTTAATTACAAACACTTGGTGTCATCTTAACAGTTCTAGGTTTTTGAAGTTTTGGGGGTAGATCTTCTCAAGAACATCAAATATTAAGTCCATTTATCCATTCTGCAATGACATAGATGCTGTTTCTTTAGCTTTAGATTCTGTGGAAGTGTAACACACTGGAGGATAGAGCCAGTCCACCCTACCCTTGGACACCAGTCTATTCTTGTGGTTTTGCATTTTATGATCGGTGAAGAGGGTATCTGAGAATACAGGTGTGTTTCAGACCAGGTTAGATTCATTTATTTTGAATCAGACTTCGGACTCTACCTTTCTTCACTGACTACTGAGGGAGCCTATGTAAACTAACTCATTTTGTTCCGTGTTTGCCTTTGTGACTGTCCCCATGGTTTTTGTGTGGTGAAGCAGTCTGTTAGAGAAGCCATGCAGCCTGTATTGAGTACAGGTATACTTTGTCTTTCTGCAGATCTTGTTTTATTAAAACATATTTTATTTTATTGTAGGAAGAAGAGACTTAATCACAGCATAACAGGCAGAGAAACATAAAGGCTTGAAGAAACAACACTTCACTAATTCTTTCCAAAAGTCAAGACCCACCAAAATCTGCTGAATTCCTCCACCAGTCTTCCGGATTTGAGGTACGTGGATTCCCTCGTTCCTACTGTTTCTCTTCCTGTGACATACGCATGGGTAGCAAATGCTGATTGAAATTTTAGAATGGTTCCAATTTTCCTCTAAAGAAATGTGTTTACATTGTACTTGTGTACTGCACACTTGTATCTTTATTTTGTTTCTTTGGCGTGACAGGAGGAAATGCTGGGCTTCCAGTAGGCTGATGGTATAGGCACGGTTTATCTGGTGGTGTTGGTGTTGACAAGCAGTGCCACTGCTACTAATTAACGATGTCACGTTCATTTTTGGTGTTACAGAGGATACCCAATTACTAAATAGCATTTCCTGTGACTTTACCAGTTAACAAAATAAACCCAGCTATTATGGAAGGTGAAATCATGCAGGATCAGATGAGATGCTTGTAACCAAGTCTCTAAGCTTCTGACAGATTTTTACAGCATGAAGCCCATGGCTCTGGTTTAGGATACACTCTTTTGGAGGAATATTTTCCAGTTATACCACAGGGTAAATGGAAAGAAGGCATGAGAGTAAGAGAGAGCCAATAAACAAGCTGACTGCTTCGGAAGACATATAGTTAAAACGTACCTTAAAAAATGAAAGCGAACTGGCTGAGTGCCATTCTTTTTCTCTACACATTCCTGACAGCGCACAATTGAAAAGTTCCTGAGTTTGTTTCTTTTACTGGAAGATCATTTTTTGGGCATTTTTCATTTCGTTTCATGAAAAGTAGAGTGTCTTTAATTTTAGATACATCGAATACCATAGTTGTAAGAATATTGTGTGTATCTTAAGAGATTAGATGGGGACAGGATTTTTTTTTAATCTGTTATCACAGACTTGTTATGTAAATAGAAAGCTCAGAAGCAAACGAGAAAGCACATTCACTGAAAAAACAGATGGCTTTTCCCCAGCAATACGTCCACCATTAGATTCCTGCAACTTGGTGAGAACTCACTGGAAAATTTATTGTTACGGATATGCATGCAATAGAAAAAATAAACATATTGCAGTCAGTGTGAAAGTCCTATACTTATCTCTGAATGATAAAAATAAACTGGTCTCTTCATGCATGGCACAGTGCTGACTATTTAATAAGGGCTAGGACGGTCTGTGACAATCACTGTCTTAACATTAAATAACAGATTTCCAGAACTGTAAGTGCTTTGTTCAGTGTAAAGTATCCATTTTTTAACAGAATAATAATAAATAAAAAAAAAAAGAAAATCAATTCCTTACAATTTTTACGAATAATTGTTTTAATTCTTTATCATGAAACTTGATTTCTCCTAGTAAGCAAAGAAGGATCAAGAGGCTGGATAAAGAGAGAAAGAGAGCAAGACTTTCAGGAGGGGAAAAGCAATATAGAGCCTGTTGAATTAGCCACAAAAATTCTCTCGACTCACCACATAAGACCCTTTTGAGGGTCATATAAGGCATGGCAATGTGTGCTGAGTATTTGTAAAACTGTTCTCTGTGGCTAGTTAGCTATGTCTGTGATACTATTACTTTGATGCTAGTGGGTTTATAAATGAAGTAGGTATACTAGAGGTAATTTTTAACCAGCAGAAACTTGAGTTACTTCTTTGCTTACACATTTCCATGTGTTCAGTACAGACAATTCTTATAATTAATGAATTGTTACTATTTTATTCAGATACTATAAGTTAAAAACCAGGTAATTTATTAGAATTCAGTTTAGTAATTCTGTTCTGTCGATTTTGTGAGGCCTCTTTTAGAAGCTGCTTTTACTGATGCTACTTAAATCTCCAGTACTGTCCACGTGACCGGGTTATTTTAAGCCCTGGTATGACATAGGTTTCATTGTTGGGCTATTTCATCCATCTATTGGAATTGTTTCCAGTAAATTAGTTTTACATTGTTTGCTGTGATTATGCTGAAGGGAAGGCCTTTACAACAACATCTCATATCAATACCTTTTGATGTGTTTAAATTTCATAGTTTTACTACGGATATAATATTCTTCAGATAAAATTATTAATCTAAAATATATTTCTGTGCAAATTCTTTAATGCAAAGTTTTACCATTTTTCTGTTTGTTTTGATCCTGTAAGAGCTAGCTGTGTTACAAAGCCATGAATTCTTAGAGCATTTATCCCTCATGTTATGAATAAGAAGAAATGGTGCTGGTTTGTTTGCTTCAAATACTCCATGCAGCTTTCAAACAGAGGAAATTACGTACAGAGGAAACAAGTTAAACTTGGTCATTTCTAAAATTAGCAAAGAAATTACATTTAAATTATGCCATTTATATGTCAGATTTCGAGATTTAGAATTTGTGAGTGATTTAGAAAACATCAGCGCTCAGTTTCTTGATCAGCTCACAGCAGCAGCTCGGGCCCTTTGCTGAGAGCCCCACAACGTGAGTCCCGTGGAGGCTTCAGAGGAGAAAGCTCCGTGCCTTCCCTGCTTCGTGAGATTTGTGTCTGTCCCCAGCATCCTCCTCCTTTTGTGCGATGTCTGACTTTGAGTCTCCTTCACTGCAGCTCTCCCCATTGACTGCCCCAGTTCCTCACCCACTGCGATGCAGTAGCTTTTTCCAGTCACATCCATTACATATTTACATCCCTATGATTCCTTGCCTTTATAAAGTCACATTGTTCTGCTTTGTCTGTTTTAAGCCCTTTTAATGACAGGGAAGAGGCTTTATTTTGCTAATAGCAACAATATTAATTTTGTTATTATGTTTTATTATTTATCCTTCATTTTAATAACAGATATGGAGTGGATAATCTGGAAACAAGTAACTGCTGTCATTTTTTTTTTGCCAGTTTTCTTTATCTTTAGGCTTTGTAGAAACAGAAGATGGAGACGAAAGCCTGCTTTGTCTCAAATTGTTCAAAGATAACTTTTTATCTGGTTCCTGGTGCTCAGGGACTGGACTGCAGATGTTGGCCTCGTAGCCACCACCGGTGTACCTTGTTAGCATTCTAGATAAATAAAAACATTTGGTGTTCAGAACATTTAAACCCTGTCATGTTTGGAAGCATTAACTAGATGGTGCTTAAATATGAAAGGTGTCTGGGGCCCCCATCATTAAGAAATCTGAACAGTAAGAGCTCAATACAACATGCATTTACAAGTTTATAGGGCCATCATCTCAAGATGATACTCGTTACAGAAGAACTCTAGGAAGTTGATCGTTTTCCTTCTAACTAGTTTGCATATGAAAAAATAAAACTGGTCCCTAAATGCTCTACTGGGTTGGTAAATGCAATGCTGGGAAAAAAATAAATAAATAGTTACCTATTTTCACGAGATGTTGTGCCCTGACTTTGCCCCGTTAGGTGTTGATCAACTGATAAGTCAATTAAATTATGGCTACTACTGATGCCAGTAGAAGCTAAAGACCAAGTCATCACCAAGACAGCAAAAAATGGATTTGCCTATGAACTTTAAGATATTTTAAGTATGATAGTAAATGCTGTATGTGGTACTTGCTGCCAGTGCCTTTTCTGTGACTTACCTGCTTATATCCAGTCTGTGTGGCCTATCTGAAACTTTGGTTGCACACTTTGTATAAATGGTTTTTTTTTCTGTTAGGGGAAAAGGTTTTTTACAAGACCTTTAGTGTGATGACAAATGTCTTTGAAAGGGATTCCAATTAAGTGATTCGTAAATCAGAGCAAATTCTCTAGGCATCCCGTAGGATTCACATATCATTGATTGGCCGTGTTGCATCCATGTGCATGGAAGGCTTTTTCAAAACACGTAAATGCTTTGACTTGTAAAATCCCCTACAATTCAGAATTTGTTAAAAGTGTTTTTCTGGTCTGTAATAAGGCTCTTACGTAGTCCTCGGGGTTTCAGGTATAACACTGTAAAGGCCAACATTAACTCTTGGTCATGTCTTTAACCTAATGAGCTCCAATCCATTTCACCTCTAAAAGAACTAATTAATTGTCTTAAAGTCCTGCAAAGATTGTTAACTCCTTTCAGTGTCAGAGAAATTGAAGCTGTCACACTCAGAGCCTAACCAACTGTGCCCAAGTGGGGGACTGCAGGTACATTTTGGTGTCGTTTCTGGAGGAAACCGCTCAACAGCAGCCGGGTGCTTTTATTTGTTAGTGTAACAATCCAGGTTCTCTTACAGCTCACCAGAATCTGTGTACTGGTGCAATAACTGGTAAACAACACTGGTAGAGCCTTTTGCATAGCTATGGCCATTTAGAGCAATCTTACTTTTAAGAGAATCACTGCATTTTTTTATTTTTAGATGTATGCATTTATGTGTATATATATATATATTTTTTTTTTTTTTCATGCAGTATTAGCTGCAGTATTGTAACTCTCTAACCTAGAAGTAGGGACTTCTTGCCCTACTTGTTGAAGGTTTTTAGCATGCATCAGGACAAGCACAGTTGTCTGAAGACATGACCTTCTTTGGATGATACGGTTTCATACTAGTTCTGTCATTATAAAAATCCATATACTCATTTTTATAGATATCTACCCATTCTTGTGGACAGTGAACCATCGTAATTTGGTAAAAGGCATCTTTTTATATCATTTCCAGTCAGAGCCATCCTGGTGTTCTTTAAAAGCAAATATTATCTCGATTTTTGCTACAAAGTAATTGGATAAGGCCATAGAAAGCAATCAGGAGAAGTGAAATAAAAACATTTGCTTCATTCTTTAATTTACATAATGTACTGTTTCAACAGATGTAACGTGGGGTGCAGGAGTTCCTGAGCTGAGGGGTGTACTGTGACAAGGAGCCAGCCTCAATGGACATTGCCCATTATCGAGAATTAAACAGGAGAATATCTAAAGCAAAGCTGAAAGTGCATCGAGAATTGTAAGAAGCCTAAATATCCCCGAAGTAACTAGAAGCGAGACCATGAGGAATAATGTAGGTAAGTATTCCAAAGTAAATCAGGGCATTTCTGAAACTTTGGGTTTTATTCTGATCGATTTATGCTGTGGTAGTAAAGATTGTCACAAAATGTATGTCAAGTAATATAATGCAAAAAATATGAGCCAATGGTTAAAAAAAAAAAAAGAACAGTAGATGTCTTTGACATTTAATGGTGCTGAAGTAGAAAAGTAAACAAGTTAGCAATTCATATCTGTATATGAGATAGTGCGCCTATACGTGGACCTTTGTGATAACAGAACAAAGAAGAAAAAGGCATTCTTGACCTAGATTTAAGAGATTTTATTGAAACAGCATATGAAGTACAGTATTTTAATGGTAAGAAAATCATTTTGTGGCAGCGTGATGCATGTGGACTACTAGTCATAATTGGTAGTAATATATTTTGACATAATTAAACAATAGAATTCCATTTATTTGTATCAGAAAATATTCAGCACCATTCTTGACCTAGATTATATTGTAGTAGCAGAGTGGAGTTGCTTTGCCCTGAGATGAAGCCTGAACTTTACAGTGAAATGTAAAATGAAATGTGCTTGTTCTTATACATTTTCATAATCAAAATATAAGGTTATACCATGTCAACAACCAGCAGATGGAGAAAAAGAACGTCCTGGGAAGCTCAAAGAACACACTAGGAAACTGAGCTATAAATAACAGGCTAATTCCATAGCTTTAAGATTGCTCCAAAGCTTTTTTAAATCCCTCCAGAAAAGACTGAAGAGATCCCTAATCTGAAGTGCCCCACTTGAAGAAATATATATGTTTTTCTTTTAAAATAAAGTTCTGTTAATCTACAAGAGATTGTTTGGACATCTTAAAGAGTCAGGGTAGTGTCTGTACCGTACCCATTGCTTCAAAATAAGATTTTTAAACACTTGGCTGCATTTTCATTCTTATCAGTGATTTCTTCTTCAGAGAAAATACAGAATTCTGTCTGATCGTCTCTGAACCGATATGTGCAGTATTCACACAGAATACTTGATGTTCACGACTCATTTTGAATCTCTATTTGTTTTAGAGAGCTGTCCCGTTCAGTAGCAGAATCTAACAGAAGAGCAATCTTCTTAGGTCGGATTTTGTGAAAATTTGAAGACCTATTGATATTTTTTTCCTTTTTCTTTTCTTTCTTTCCTTAAATCGTACCTCTGGAATATAACATTGTGGCTATATTCAGAAATACTTGTTTTTTTCTGACTTACATGCTTAATACTATAAATTCTTGAAAGCAGGCTTTAAGATTTCGTGGAATATTTCCTAGGACACGCGTCCAAGTACTGACAGATAGACTTCGTGCCACTGAGGTCATCAGATCCAGCCCTGCTCAGAGCAGGACCAACTTCAAAAGGGTTCCCCCAAGCTTTGTCAACTTGAGATTTGCACGTCTCCAGGTTTGAGTTGAGTTGGAAGGCTGCAATAAAGTCTTCCTTCATCTCTTCTTGAGCATTTCCTTCTATAATGACTCCTTCACTCCTTAAAAATGTCTTTTACTTTTCTGCACTAATGTTTTGCTTCAAAAAAGGCTTTTAAAATAATACCTTTTTAAAAAAACTTCTGAGTTTCTCTTGTATGTTCCCTCGACAAGAGAAAAATAATTGGAGAGCTTGGAAAAAAATAAAGATCACAAATAGTCATTCCTAAAATGCGGGGAATTTTTACAAACAAGAGTCATACGTGAGGCTCTGCAAGTATTCACCGTCAGTGAAATGTTAGAATGTATTTTGCAGTACTGAACACAGCCCTTTAAAGAAAATTTCTAGTTGTTAGAAGAAGGCAAAGCAGAGCAACAAACTAGTGGCAAATCTCGAAAGCAGGACTGATAAAAAGAAGCAGAAAGAATTAGATTGTAGGAAGAAAAGAGAAAGAACCCTGTAGGATGGACAAAAGGCTTTTAAAAAAAAATAGAGTTTTATAAAAGCAATGGTAGCAGTTGCTCTGTAGATTTAAAAAATAATAATTTGCACCAAGGCTTTATTTAGACTAGGCATAAAGATAAAACAGTCCAAGTTCTTCTTTTTTACCTCATACCTGACTGCAAATATGGATGAAAAACTGAGATACTTTGCCTATAGCTTCCATGAAATCTGACTGGATTTTTTTTAATGCCTAACGAAGCAGCTTTTGGAGCTGATCTTGGGAAGTGTGACCTTCATTCACTGCCAGTGGGCTGACCAGGTTTGCTCACCCAAGATGCTCAGTTTGTGCAGTTCTGTTGACTTAACTGTGGAATGAGATTTGTTTTATTTTCCTGAGAACTTCTTCTATTACAGAAAATCTGCTTTAAGTTACATAGTTTAAGGTATATGGTATTCACGGTATTTACTTACAGCACTTTTAAGAAAAAAAAAAAGTTTTTCTTCGATAAAATGCTTTGAAAAGTCCATATTTAAAATGGACTGAAATTGAGGTTCAGCAACCCTTCAGTGGTTGTCATTCATTTCCTTGAATTCAAGCTGCCACTGAGATAGTGTGCCCAGGCGTCACGTAAGAAATAAAGACATTTTTTAAAATGCTGGAAGCTATCTGCAGCTTGAAATTCACGTTTCTTAGATTTTTCTGCCAAGAGTTCGTGGCTTTTGTTCGTGATGCTGATGGCTTTGTTTGTTTATAGATGGGTTGGGTTTATTTGTGTGACAGAATATATTTATGTTACCAAATGAAATTCTTTTAATCAAGGTCTAAACATGTTGTAATTAAGAGCTGACTAAAGAATTCTTTGCCTACATGCCTTCCAGTAGCTCCCTTTTTGGAGGATGATGCCAGAATATGTTAAATACCTATGTTATGGACCCGCCTTCTGCGTTTCCACGGACTTTGAACATTTTTCAAGCTTATTCAGAGGATAAAGGCCTGCTTGAGTTATAACTTGGGATCTGACACAACACGTTGCCCTCTGCTTGGGATGAAGCGGTGCACTTTCTGGATTCTCCTCTTTAATGGAGATTTGCTCTTAAACTCCCGGGTGTAGCGCATCCTTACGGGGACATGTGGTTTTGAATTCTGGCTGCCTGGGGTCCTTCACCCTCCTTTTTGTTTGCTCTGCTTTGATGAGCTGGCGCAGTGCTCTTCTCAAGCCTGAATGTGATTCACCCTTTTGTTTAGTTCTTTCTGAAGAGACTGAAACCTTTTTTTTTTTTTTTTTTGTCTAGCTTAGGGTTTGTGCAGTTTATTGTACATGTAGTAAAATCCGGCTTTGTTGTTCACCAAGTGAGCCCTGGATAGCTGGCAGGGCACAGCATCCTTGCCTCGTGTCTTGCTCTGCCCTAAACCTAATGATGTTGGGAAGAGATGCAATACCCGTCTTTTGTAGTGTTAAACTGTTTGGGACTGGTGAGTAATCGTGCTTCCAGGAAGCCTTTGAGGTTCTGTTCAGTACCTAAACCACTCACTATGGTTTTGCGGAGGGGGAAGGAGGGTGTTTATGGAAAAACCTCTTACATGAAGTATGCTCGACAGCCTAATATCCTTTTGTAGAGGCACAGCATAGTGGCTTTTGTTGATACAAGTCCACATAGCCAAAGGTTTTCAGCAGCAGCAAAAGAATTTGCTTTTAGAAGCCCAAAAGTCTGTTGTGCCTAAAGTAAGGTCCTTTAGAGACTTACTGACAATGCCCAGACTTTTGTCGTAGGTTACAGCCTGGCAACCTAGAAGCTGCATGTTCCCCATCTCGGCGTCCTAAAATATCTAAAATCTAGATTTTAGCATAATGCAATGGCAAAACTCTTGCTTGGAAAGTTTCACGACACCTGTACTAAGTAGAGAATAGAATCGAATGCTTTTTATTATCATAAAAACAAATGTCTCATTTTCTAGGAGCCAGACTGGTCTTCACAGTTAATGGGATAATGCAATTTATCCTTATTAAGGTGTCAGCGTGAATACGTCTGATAATTGTTCTGTAAAATTTCAACCAAAAAATATACCGACATTAAGATGTTGATACTTGGCTCATCTTAGCAGGCTAAATATACCTTGCCATTCTTAAATGTAAATCTGAGCATAGGGGATGGTAAGCCTATGAGTCAGAATCCCTAATAGAGCAGCCTGGGGAGGATAGACACAGATATGGGGTGTTCCCATCTCTCCCTGGGACAGCAAGACAGGAAAGAGGTTTTTGAGTCACAAAATACAAAATATTATTGGAAACTAATGGCATGTGCACACTGTTGCTGAAATACAAAGTGAATTTTAATAGAGTGCTTTATGAAAGAAAAAAATGAAGTTGTATATTAATGTTTTCTTAAACATTAGTTTGTCTTTTCTATGCTTATGCTGGGTTTTCTGGAACTGTGCACAAAATGCAACGTGCAATCAGGTCTTCATTGCAGAATTTCAAAGAAATCTCTCCAATTAGATGTTTTTAAATTTGAAGGAATGACGAAGACATTTAACACTGAACTCTGAGCATCACAGGAGGACCATATAGCTTATCTTCACCTTCAACTGATTCTTTGTTTTTCAGCTTGGAGTGAACAAGGTGATAATATCCACCTTAAATCTAATGCTTAATGAGGAAAAAGGTCAGGCTTGCTTTTATTAAAAAAAAAAAATCCTGTATCTTTCTCTATATTAGTATATTAAAAAGTACTTCAAATTTGTATTAATTCATATTTATTAGATAACAAACCACATGTAAGGTTTTAATATTAGGGTAAGAAAGTGTATTTTTAAATTGAGTGGTGCAGTCGTGAAAGCGTTGACTCAGACTAGCGTATGTAGAAAAAGAAGCTATATAAGGAAAGGTCATGTACACAAATCTTCATAGAGATTCACTTCAAAATTATTAAGCTTATAATTAATGCACCTCTTGTATATCAATAAAGAAATATTTGTCACAATTTTCATGGAGCGAAAGCATTTAAAAGGATTAAAATCACCCACTATTTTTTTCTGTAAATATCCTTAAACTTCTGAGTGCTCTTTTAGAAAACAGAGGAAGTCTTTTAATACTGTCTATCTCATAAATAAAACAGTGGGGCC